GGTGTCTACTGCTTGCTTGCCTCGATTATCTCTATTTTCAAATCTCTCTATCTATGCAATTATATCTCTGCTTTATTTCCCGGGCTTATATATAAAAAAGAGGGTGCCTAGAACAGACTAGAGTTTCCAGGAAAAGTCAAGATCCTTCGAGAATCTCATGACATGTTACCAGCGTCACGTGACTTCCACTGTCGTAACAACATCATTAATGATAACACTCCGACACATTATCATGCAGGCACAGATGATTATGACATATTCAACCTTTCTATAATCCCTACCCCCTCCTTCTTTTTCCCAGAACTTCATGGTTTAACCCAATATAGCTAGTGACCACTTTCCTATCTCCTTTACTATACAAATCAGCAAACATATACACATTATCCATCACTAGTGTGCAACTACACTAAAGTGGACTGGAAAAGATTTAATGCAGTTTTTGAAACACTTTTTGCCTAACCAAATTTTAACACCATTTCCAACAAAGACGACCTTGACAAGTATGTTAAAGAAGTTACAGAAGCAATCTCTAAAACCACTGGATATATATAATACTCTCCGGACACAGAAATTTATCTACACAACACTGGACACTCACACAAGAAATTTAAAGCTATGTCCCCATGCCAAACTGTTCGAGAGAGAGAGAGAGAGACTGATGGCTTGGGGTCAGAAGGGGTAGCTGAACCCCAAACAGCCACCCACTCTTATCGGTCCATCCGAGTGCAGTGCACACATTGCACATACTCAAGATCCAGCCCTGATCCAACACAATACTTAAGAAAATGAAACCTATAATGATTAAAATGCATTGAATCATCAATTGGGGACCTTCATAATTGTGGATATTTTCAGCCATGATCACAATAATATCTCGTTAAGTTCAAACCATTTATATATTTAGTTAGCCCTACATCCATAATATTTTAAACATTATAAAGAATAATATTGATTAAACTAAATTAAGTAATATCAATTAAATTAACTAATAAAAAGTTATTGATATTTCTACAGGTTTGATCACAGTGTCAGTATTAAGGCTTAGTTTATACTTTTGCAATGAAAATTTCATTATTTGAGTTTTTAATTGTGATGATTTCGAGAGACTTTTGTTCATAAATATTTCATTTTTGTTAAACTTTTATATGATGGAATTTGTCATATAAGTGAACAAGATGGGTGATTGAAGCAAGAGCTTTGTCTAAATTTCTAAAAAATTATGTAAAATACCTGTTTTTCTTCAGGAATAATTTGTAGGCCCATAATATCTTAATGTTCCTTTTGCCAAACCAAGACTGCTGGTGTATTGGTGCAAGCCTGTATTTGCACTTGTAATGATATATATTAAATAGCTGAGTTGAACAGTAGCTCTTTGTATCCACTGATGCTTAAATGCTTTATTTTTTTTTATGCTTAAGATAATCATTGATATTATAAACATCACTTAACACTTAAAAATGGTTTTTTTCTGGTACAATATAATTTCTCCAAGTTTTCAAGAAATAGAATGTATGGAGAAAATTTATATGTTTCTTTTTGTGATAAAATCTAATGCTCATGAATTTGGGTATGAGATGTAGAAATAACTAGTGAAGATGCCCATGCTTCACATTACATTAAGGCATTTTTAGTGGTTTTGAAAGCTGTAAAAAATAACTCACTTTTGAATGAACATATTCTCACTTATACTTAAATGTTTTCAATTTACCCAAAAATAACTGACAATTTTTTAAAATAGGCACTAAGGCATGTAGCAAAGCAAACAAAATGTTCACCAAATGAGAACAAGAATAATGTAACTTATTGTAGGCTACATATGGGACCTACCCAAGAACCTGTAACAGTTTCATAGTGATCAGAGGCCAAAAGTCTTTATTTCAGACAGCCACATAGATAGTTTTTAGTTTAGAAGTTAAAGTTTCATAGTGATCAGAGGCCATAAAATGTTCATTTCAGACAGCCACATAGATAGAGTGTAGTTTAGAAGTTAAAGTTTCATCATGTTTGTTTCAGAATACTCCAATGTTCCGGGTTTGGTTCAAGCAGGACAATGAATTCCTTCTTCCTAAAGCTAACCTTACTTTCAAGTTTAACAGGTAATAACTTCTTGTGTATCTTCTTCCTCTAAATAAAATACTTGTTTCATCTTGGGGGAATCTCGTTCTTGTAATATAACTATACACCTGGAAAAAAGTTAAGCACCCCCGTGTTTTTTTCAAGTGATTCAGATTCGACGTTCTTGTGACTGATTATAAATTACCATTCAATCTAAACGTGTTTATCAAAT